AAAAAAATCACAAAAATGTCACAAATGAAGCTAAAAAGACCAAAAAACGACACAAAAAGTTGCAAAATTGACCCTAAAATGAGGCGACTGGTTTTCATTTGGTTCCTTCTGACAGAACCCGACGTCACCGGTTCAGACAGTTTCAGAACTTCGTCTTTTATGAACCGGGTGATTCAACATCAAACCTTGTTAAACCTGGTTTCGTGTCCTCCTCCAGCGGATCACCGGTCCGACACGTTTCTACGAGCAGGTCGTGTTAAACATCGATTAGTCGGGTCTGGATTCTGGCGTCGCCGTTAAAGGCTCAATCCGCCCAAAATACCGGCGGCTGGACTTCCAGTAAAGCGGTTTGCAGCGACCGGCCGCCTGCTCCTAATGCGCCGGCTGTTTATTCATCTCCAGTTTGCTTTGCCATCCATCACGTCAGACACAAATGTCCCCCGCAGGCTCCCGTATCGACCCCTAAAAGCCCAGAAACCTGAGAGCCGGGGCGGCGGCGCTGGGCTGACCTGGAACCGGGATCAATGCGGACGTTAAACATTTCCCATCAGCCCCGGCGGCTCGTCGTGTCGCCGGAGGTTTGACGGGTTCGCGTCAGCCGGCGTTCCTGGGAGCTGGTATCAGGAATCGATTGGGTCCCGATCGACGGCGTGGTTCTGTTCAGCGCCGCGCTGCGTGTTGGGACGTCGTCGACTGAATCTCGTCATTTATTTAAATGAAACGTCGTCTCTAAGCGACGTCGGAGCTCAAACTGGCAGAAGAAAGACAGTCAAAGGATATTTAACCTGATCTGCTCATAAAAACGCCTCAAACTGATTCTGACAGCAGCCGGACGACGTCGTTTATTAACTAACGAGGACAAGAACCTCGTTATGGATTCACAGCTTCAGAGGGAATCAACAGAGGGAAGCCTGAGACCCACCGCAGGGTTCAAAAGGTCTTTAAATATCAACCACAACCACACCATTCATCACAGCAAGAAACTGGAAAAAACAGAAAATTTCGCAGATTTTAAACTCTCCGACGGTCCCTGAACGCGTCGTGTGTGACGCACGGTTCTGTCGGGAAAATTAGCCAAAGTCAGGCTTTAAATCCTCGATATGAAATCACTTTGTGTATGAGGTGAGAATAAATCATTCACCAAAGTTCTGACAGAACCGTCCCGGGACAAGATTTAAAAACATCATGAAGACGTCACCGCTCAGCCCGAAGACGTTAAACTTTCCAACAGTCCCTGAACTGCTCATCTGTACAGCTGCACTGTTAAAAAAAATGTAATTAATTGTTAAATCCGTTCAAAATCCGGGTTAGAGCGTAACGTTTGAAAACTGAAAAACAGTGAAAATATATCTCTGCAAATGTTTTTTTTTAGCAAATTCTTATTATTTTTTGTTTCATTCTAATTCAGATAACATAATAATAATAATAATAATAATAATAATAATAATAATAATAATAATATCTGGCTGATTTAAATACAGAAGCAAAAAAAAAAATCTAATTTCTCTTTGTAAAAAAACAGGGATTTATTGATGTATTTGTGTATTTATGTATTTTGTAGGCGTTCATTATGTCCAGCGTGTTTCTACTCGAGTACCTTCAGTCCTGTGACTTTACTGGCCGACGTCACCGCTCGGTCCTTCAGCTGCCTCAGGATTATTTCAAAGCCAGCAAACGTCTGTTATTGTCGTTTTACAGCTGAATGTCATTAAATAATTCATTACCACTTTTTTGGGGGGTTTGTTTGTCGTCAGCGAAAACATTTTTTTTTTTCCAGATATTTTCTGTCGTTCAGCAAAAACCAGGAAAACATCAGGACGAGCCGATCGGCGTTTCGGTGGAGGAGAAAAAGAGCGGCTCGGGTTTCATCTGACAGCAGCGTTAAGTGTTTCCTTAACCCCGACCTCGACCCGGGTGTGTGTGTGTGTGTGTGTGTGTGTGTGTGTGTGTGTGTGTGTGTGTGTGTGTGTTTGTGCAAGAATGTCCACGTAACATATATTATATTCTCTGGTCAACCTGCCTGACGAACAGCGTGCCGGTGACCTCGCATGACCTCTGCCTCTGTGTGTGTGTGTGTGTGTGTGTGTGCTACGTGTTGACCTGCCCGTGTGGTGCCTTCACTGACGTCAGCTGTAACCGCAGCGCCGACAACATGACATTGTCCGCTTCATTTAGGAAACACCCACCACACACACACACACACACACACACACACACACACACACACACACACGCACACGCCAGAGAACACGCTAGAAGCGGGCCCGGCTCTACGGTCACGTCTCATCTGCAGCGATCCTTCGGCAAACGTTCATCGTGACCACGTTTAACCGTCTGAAACCCAAAACCTGGCTTCAAAGATCACGTCAATGTTTTAAAAAAAAAAAAAAACATGTTTCTAACTTTCCGACCGTCTGTAATGAGCATCAGGAAGCTAAAAGTCGAGACTATTTGCCAACAAAATAAATAAAAACAGGCGTTGAAGCCTGTTTCTGCAGGCAGCGGAGACGAAACTGATGAAAACATGCGAACCGTTAAATATCCGTTAGTTTTCCAGCAGCAGCACGTTGAATCCAAGTTTATACACATTTTTTTAATCCTTATTTAGAATTTAGACATTCAGAAGTCACGTTATGTTTTTAGAAATAGACTTAAAATGAAGATATTTCATCTAAATCAATGTTTTCCGTGGATGTAAATTCGGTCTCGTGAGTTTCTGAGCTGAACATCGTTTCACCGAGAAGAGAGGAAATACAGCAGAACGTCCACCACATGTAGATCGACCGCTTCCTGTGGACGCCCGGAAAAATGTTGTCAACACAGTCGTGACCCAATAATCGACCCTTAACAATCCTAAACCTGCTATCCGACAGGTTTCTAGGAAAAACCAACAGAACCCATAAAAACAGCCTGAACATAGCGACAGCCTTGGATTGTGACTCCGACATGACATTTAATGTCACCAATCAGGATGACGGCGTATTATCTGACTGAACAATCCCACAGATTGGCTACGTTCACACTGCAGGACTTGATGCTCAATGAGGATTTCTTTGTGACTTCCTTCACGTTTCCACTTCAATGCGACTTGTATGTGATCTGCTGTGTGAACTTCATACGAGCCAAAAGTGTCCCGCATGCGCAGAAGAGGACACGACGACGTCACACGCAGCGAGCGTGCTCAGTGTTTATGGAAGTAAACATGGATGGTAACGGTGGAGCGTATCTGCCACTCCCCCGCCGCCACCGATGGAGGAAACAGAAGTGTGAGCGCTAACTAAACTAGCATCAGCAGCCAAGTACTGCCTGTGTGTTCTGGACACTTCCACCCCGTCAGAGCGCTGCCCCGGGGTGGAAGTGTCCCCCGACCGGGACCAATGTTCTGATATTCATCATTAATTGGGCCTGAATATCCAGAGAGCAGAAAGTTCTACTGGGACCAGCCCTACTAGTTATTATAACAACTATGAACAATAATGAACAACTAATGAGCCTTCCAGCATCAAGCCCTCCTCGTATCTGGACCTCCGTCTGGACAATCCAACAGCCTTGATATCCGACATAGAAGAAGGTTTTATGTTTAGTGTCGGATCATCCGAGTCACGGCTGTACCTGTAAACTAAACAAAAGAAGTTCAGCCTTCATCTGACTGCTGACAGTCGACGTCTCTGAGTTCTGTCTCCTCCGTCATGTTCTGGTTCCTCAGAGCTGCAGGACTTTATGGTCAAACACACCCAGAAAATGACTCCAAGCTCCTCACAAAGCAGCATTTCTACTCTCACATCTCATTCAGCCCTCGACCACGACAACCTCGGTCACCAGGAACAGACACCAGAGCAGCAGCGGCCTCACCTTCGTCGTCGATGAAGTCCTTGAGGGAGGTCCAGGTCTTGTTGTTGCAGTAGAAGGAGGCGTTGGCCGGCAGGCTGCCGTTGATGCAGTGCGCTGTGCTGCGGACGCACTTCTGCCGCAGGTTTCCCATGAAGAGCTGCAGACCGATGAGGGCGAAGACGCTCAGGCAGAAGACGGTGAGGATCATGACGTCGGCGAGCTTCTTCACCGACTGGATCAGGGCGCCGACGATGGTCTTCAGGCCTGAAGGACGGCCGGGACGCAGGGACGCACACGGCATTAACACACAGTACAGTCTGCTGTAGTTAACGGAAAACTGGGTCTACAGCTACAAACAATCAGTGAAAACAAACTGAAACACTCAAAGCTTCGTCTGAATGCAAAAACAAACTAAATATAAATAAATCCATGAATCAGGTCCATGAAGACGGCAGCCAACTGAACCGACAGCTCAGATGGAGTCAGACCAAGAAGTGAGCCACGTATTAATGAGCACCTTCACTTCTCCTGCTTTGTTCTTCAGCTCAGACTGAAGGCCGCCGTCTTCATGCACGAGACAGAACAAACCACAAATCTGATGACATCAGAGTCGTGCTGCTGCTCGGTGAAAACCTTAACAGATCCCTGAAGGTAGCCCCAAGTGGAGTCCTCTTAGTTTACCACTTCCTTTTCCTTTTAACTTAAAGAACTTAGATCAGCAGCACGGGGACCAACAAAGCTATGTAAAGATGTGGGGACTAGTGGTAGAGGTCTTGAAGCAGCTACAGAGGTCCGAGGACCTTGTAGAGGTCTGAGGACTAGTTGTAAAGATATGGGGAC